CTTTCAGTTCTTTAAGTCTGTAGAACTTGCTGCCTTGGTCAAATTTGTACAGATGTTAAGCTGATTTCTAGTATGATGTCTAGGCATAGTTGAGGGGAGAAGGTGCTTAGAGAAGGAATCTTAATAAAACTACTTTTCAAACTATAAAAGTGATCCTCCTATTGCCAGGAAAATAATAGCTTTTTGTACCCCATTGGTCTGAAGACCAGTTTTTATTTTCTGAGAAAGTGCTGCAGAAAGTTGACAGAGGCTTTAAGAAATTACAGTGAAACAGCAGTGTAGTTGTCTTGTGGGTTTACCTTTTGTTTGGTTAAAGATCAGAACTCAGGCAGTGGCAAGCTTTGCATGGCAAAGAGACACTTCAGATTTCTAGTCACAAGAGACCCCTCTGTATTTCGTGTCTGCTTCATTAAATATGCCCACCCCAATACAATTGATTAAATCCTTGGACACAAAACATAAAATATATTTCATTTGCATTTAATATATGGTGCAGCTATTGCATACTCACAGCTGTAAAATAAAGTGCAAATATAAAAAGTTCCTTCCAGTCACATGCTGACAAAACAAGAACCTGTATCTCATCTTGTTTGGACAGCAGGGGAGAGATTAGAGAAGGGGCAGCCAGAGCAGCTGCAAATAACGATGTCTGTTTCAAATTCAGAACCAATCATCTTCTTGGTGTAATTTCTGATAAATAATTTTCTTGTCCAGCAATTTTTAGGTTGATTCCACAGGACTGCTGGAATAATCATCCTGACACTGCAGATAACAGGATTGTGATCGTAAATCTTAAGATTCAAGTACATTCACCATGGTTGAGTGACCACCAGCATTTTGAGGGAATGAGAATATTTTTCCCCTGAAAAGATGACGGCACGAAGGGCACATATGCAGAAAGTGAAGCCTTGGAAATACAGAACAATGCATCATTTTTATTTCAATTTGCCATGCACTTCTTATCATTTCACCCACATTCTGCCCACTAATCAAGGGAAAGAGGCTTGGCTGGTGCAACTGGTTCTGGATAGATCTATTTGTGGCTGTTGCTATTGCAGCAACAGCAAAAGTGTGTTTTTTTTATAGAAGAATCTAGGCTCTGTCACAGAACGTGACTTATTCTGTGAACAATTATTTTTATCTAAAGAGTGAAAAAATCTTTATACCAGACTGGTGTTGTGTGGGACTATTCCAGTTGTGCACATGTAAGTGATGAAGGAAAATATACTTATCTGCATTATTTGGTCCTGCTTGGTACAATTCTGCCTTTTCTGCACGGAAGAGGAGCAATCAGGTATTTAAGTAATGTTAATATTACAGAACTATGGAGCTGGGTTTTTGCCTTTTAAAGATAGTTTATCTTCTTCACACAAAATGAGAAAAAAGTACAAAATAGCACTGGGTTGTTTATCAATATAAAACACTCAGCTGATGAGATGCACTAATCCATAGCCAAACCCTGGATAAAGGCCCAGCTGACTCTTATTTAAGCCACCACCTTACTCCACAGCTTTTATATGTCAAATCCCTGACAATACCTACAATTTGAGCCAATTCCACAGTTAACCACAGCCCTGCATATCCATGGTGATCAAACAAATGCTCACCTTCCAAAATGTGAGGAATTTGACATTAATAAAGGCATGTTGCTCCCTGCTAGGCAATGCATGAACTGGCCAGACATGCCACATTATATCACTTGCAAACTGGCAGCATCACAGGGCAAGTGTGTTAACTGGGATACTGCTGTGAGAAGGAGATGTCTGGATTTACTTTCCTCCCCAAGGACCTTTCCAGCAGCCAGCATCTTCTCCATTGCACATAATTCTCTTTTACTAGAAACACCTGGTAGGTCTTGTAATTCCTGTCCTCATGTTGCAGAGTGCTCTCCCCTCTCACATCACTGTCCTCAGGCCACGCAAGACACCCTCTTTAAGAGAAAACAGTGCTGAGAACCAGAAGAGGTGGAAGCAGATGGCTCCCCAAAAGCCAGAGCAAGGCTATAAGCTGTGCTGCAGCTCCAGCCACAGGGGGTCTAACAAGGAGTCCCCCTTTGCTTCCATTTTCCCTGGACTGCAGGCTGCTGGTAAAGAAAACAGACCTTTACAAACAAAGCACTGCTGCTGCACGGGATGCCCAAGTTTTTCTGGAAAAAGTTGGTTAAGTCAATGAGTTAACAATTTGTTCCAATTACAAGAAGTGACCTGGAGTGCAGCAAAAGCTTCTTACCTTCCTCTCTGCAATTGCAAAGCTCAGGCACCAGGACCCTTGTATCCTTGTTGCATGGTTTATATATTCTGTGTGCGTGGGAGTGAGTGCTCAGGGATTTGGGCGGGGAGGGGGAAAGGGGGAAGAGTCCAAACAAAACATTTAAATCTAATTCCTTTGATGGTGCAGCTGTGAGAGAGCAACTGAGATGATTTTGCTGTATTTCAGAAGCTGCAGGTTTCCTGTCCTCTATTAATTACAAATCATGTTTCCATGGCCAGGTTCTTCTTAAGTCAACCTCTCCTGCCTGCATAGCAGATCTCAGTTCAAAATTCCCAAAGAACAACAACTGATGCTTCATTTTCCCCTTCCTTATGACCCCGTCTCCCACCTTCTCTCCCAAGCATGGCATACCAGAAATATTTCCTAACCAGTACAAACAGAATGGCACAAATGAACCCAATTTGCTTTGTGAGAAAACTGGAATAGCACCCAGATGAGAACGATGAGTTTGGGCCTTGGAATCTCTTGCAAGGCAAGTGGCTTCCTGGTTCATTCCCAACTCCTTTACATGGTGCCATGAATCCTGCTCTCCAGGGCACAAGGAGCACGGAGCAGAGCCAGCTCAGGGTGATCCAGCAGCATCAGCAGTGCAGGTGGGTAACACAGCCCTGCTCCAGGTCCATGTGGCTCCTCCAAAAGTGCAGACCCCTGATGACTTCAACACCTCTACCCCAGGCTTTTGCATGGAGCAGGGACCTCCTCAGGAGTTTGCTCTGTCACACACCTGCCCCATCAGACAGGAGCAATGGCACAAAGTGACTTCACAGGGGATGTTTTCAGAACAGAACACGCTGCAAGGCAGTTTCTGCACTCCAGCCTTGCCTTGCTTGACCCTGCAGTGCCCAGCTTGCAAATCATCCAGTCATTTTCCTCTAATCTTGGTTAAATCAGGAGCTGAGGTGACACAGTGCTGCAGCACTGGGCTGGTGTCACTGGACAGCAGACAAATGACCAGAGACAAGGCAAGGAGTCAGCACCTGCAGCGTTCTGTGGTTTTATTGCAGCAGCAGGGGGAGGCAGGGGAGGGATGAAATTCTGTTTTACCCTCCACATTCAACAACTTACATGAAAGCTTTTCAATCCCTCTTCCAGAATAAATAGTGCAGCTGAGCCTTTCCTGGAAGTGATACCAAAATGTTTTTTTCCTTTTCTTTTATACACCTTTTATATAACTTTCATATATCCTCAGTATTCTTAGCAAGGATACTTGTAATTCTTTAAGTCTGGTATCTTAGCATAGTCCTAGTATTTTGTTAGGCCAGGAGACCAAACATCCTCAGGTCCTCATAGTAGGAGGCCAGAAAACCCTACGCTATCTTGGGAAACCAAGGTCCTCTCTAGAATAAATCCTGTAAACTAGAGATTTGGCCCATCCAGGGGGAAATTCCTCAAACTGGGGAATATCAGGCCATTCATCCAGGCCTCCCATTATGTTATGTCCCATAACAAGGGGCATCCTTGTTAGATATGCTAATTTTTAAGGTCTATAAATCATATAGGTGATCTATCGTGTGTGTGCATTGTGGTGCATCCCACCTCGGCGACGTGGTGCACCACTAAGGATCCTTATTAAAATACCAAGGTAAAAACTCCTTACCCTTTAACCATGTCTGGCTCTCAATTTTTAAGCCCAGGAAAAGGCATCAGAAGGGCTAAACCATTCAGAAAGAGCAAAGAAAGGAGAGGATGCAGAAGCATCTCCTCAACTGCAGACAAGCAGTGGCCTGCCATGATGATGGAGCACGAACTGGACGCTGTCCCCCCCAGACCATTCATCCTCATCTCTGCAGCCCAGGATCTGGGCTCCCTGGCTGAGCTCCCCAGCACCTCTGATATCTGCATGGTTACTCTCACATCTGTGAAAACAAGAAACTTGTGTCACACTCCGAGCTGCATCTCAGAGCATCCTGAAGAGGGGGGTGCAGGGAGGGACAGTGTTACCTAGGAGCTCCGGGATTTTCTCCAAGAGGCTTGGTTCGTTTTCTCTGAAGCTTCTGTGTTTTCTTTTTTCCCCTTTCACCCCACTTCTCTCAATGGTCTGGTGCCCTCAGAGAGTCCAGGAGCAGACACCAGCTGGCCCTAGCAAAGGCCACATCCCCCACTGCCTGTGTTGTTCTCTCCAGCTCGCCTATATGGATCCCTTAATTGCATGCATGGCTTTCAGGCTATTCTCCATGCATGAGCTGTCAGCAAAACCTTGCTGGAAACACTGGAATTTCACATTTTTCATGGAGATTTTCCATATCAAATGGGCAGTTTCACATTTTCCATGAAATTCCTAATGACTGCAAAAAAAATACAGCCCCAGTGTTTGGAAGGGCTAGCTCAGCTTGCCTTCGGGCACCATTTGCGTGTTAAATGCATGTGTGTGAATTTACTTAGCATATCATTTCAGGGATGGCATTGGAATATTTTTTTTTTTTGCTGTTGTTGCAGATGACAGGAGAGAAGCATGCATTCATCCATTCATTCATAAACCCAACTTGTGGCACGGCATGCTGGGGAAGGGATCTTTCGCATCATTTTTAAAACAGAGAGAGTGCAAAGCCCTGTCAACTGACAATATCCATCCAAGCTGTCATTGCCAATCACTTGAATGGACTGCAGCAGAGAGTATTTTCCACAATGAGATACCAATGGGGGTGACCATTAGGTCAGGAATCTTATTTTCTCAGCTCACCAACCCCTGCAAATAAATTCTCACCAAAAGGAGAGAAAAGCCTCATTGATTTGACAAGCGATCAGACACTGCAGTTGTCATTTTCCCAGCAGTTGCTGGCATATTTTTTTGCCTGGTGTGTGAGATATGAATTTCGTGACTTAACCTATCAAACTCTTAAAGGGATCATCCCTTTTTTATCTGCATCCTCGTGAAAAGCAGAACTCACAGCAGCAAGATTCTGAAAGCAAAATACTGTTCTTAGCTTTAATATACTATTACTTGATTTACAACAAAGTTCATGCAGGGGCTCTACTTTGTTAAGTCAGACATACTTATTTGACCAGCAAGAACGTGGGTTTTTTCCCCTCATCTATACTCATTTTGATTTGTAAAACACATTTTTTCACAGTTGCTGGTATTGTTCCCTTATGAATGCATCACAGCCAAACCAAGAAAGGCTATAAAAGCAAGAAAAAACACATTCTTCAATGAAAGAAGTCACATTTTCTTGGTGTTCTTACAGACATGAGTTTTCATAACATCTTAAAATACTGCATTAATATAAAAAACAAACAAACCTCTTTATGCTGAATTCCAGAAACAGCCTAACTAACTGTGGATCCAGTGAAACAGATTTGTGCTGGCACACAAAATGTTATCTTCTTCCATGCTACCCAAATCTACTTTAACTCTTCAAATTAGAACTTGAAAATTCACCTCAGATTTGCTGTGGAGGTTTTTTTAGGGGAATATCTTGGCAGAAATAATTTATTAACTGATGTAAAAACATAGACTTTGTGATGTTTTTACAGGCAGGTTCTTTGGGAATATTTTCTGACCATGAAGAGACCCTGGTCCCCAGCTAAGAGCCTGCAGGGAAGTGAGTCCCTGGTGTAGCTGCCTTCCCACAACAGGCACATCAAGGATCTGGATCCAACTTCCCCAGTGACAGTTTTGCTTTTTTCATTTAAAACAGAAGTTTTGTCTGTAGATATTTTTTTCACCATGAGAAGCTTGTCCCTGCCCAGTTGTAGACACTTTCTGAGGAGCTCACCATCTGCTTGAACACAACTACTTCAACCAGACTGGATTATGATTTACAAAACCTGCAATTCCTCCCAATCCATCCATCCATCCATCCCTCCCTCCCTTTAGTTCAAACAGTAAAACTGCACCAGGTCTCACTTAGTCTATGGAATTATTATAATTCAGAGAAATAATGGGATCCACTCATACTAGAAGCACTTCTGTCAGCAATTAATAAGGTTTTTAAAAATCTTTTTTATAAATATATATATAAATAAATTTTAATTCTAATAATTTAATTATCTAAATTTACTATTGGGAAGAGAACATGACCAAACATTTTTTTACATTCTAAAGTATTCTAAAGAATGGCCAGAATCCACTGAAAATAGATTAAGGATCAGGTAAAGCCTCACCTCTGTGCCTTACATATGATCTAGCTTCAAGATTGTTGCTGCCAGTTTAGTTTCTCTAGTAAGAACGAGAAGGAGTTTTAGTCTCAAATGTCAAAAAAAATAGTAATTTATTATTTTGGTAAGTTGACAGGGCACTGGACTTAGTATCAAATTCTTCTAAGCACTATCAGCCCCTCTGTTAATCAATAGTGCACATTTCTTACTAGTCTTATCATCATAATACATTGTTCCAGAAATTCTAGCAGCATATTGAAGCATGAGTCTGCTTCCAGATAAGCCTGGCTGGCTTTATTTTTTTGTCTTTTTTATTTCAAGATAAGTGCTCTAGTGCAGGGACCCACCAAAACATTTTATTCCTGATATACCTATCAATTCTAGCTTTGTCATATCCTTGCAATACAATATTCAGCTACTCAGGCTATGAACAGTCCCTAGGTGGGACTGACTCTATTCCTTTTTCTGGTGTTTTTTCCTCTATGCACACACATGGTAACCTCACCAACGTGGCTCCTTTCAGTTGCTGCTAATTCCCTGCTATGATTTCACATCCAACACTCCAGCTGCAAGGTGTGATTTTAGCTCAGACAGCAATACTTTCAGAGCAGTGAGGGCCTTGGTAGGTGTATGAGACAAACACTTTATAACACAGGTCAAGGAATATGGGATTCAATGTCCAGGAATATTCTGAAACCAGTCAGCTGTGGCTAAAATCCTGAAATTAATTTTCCCTGGGAAATCTCAACAACTCAGGAAAAAACAGTTTTCTGTTCTTCACAAAAGTGAAGTTCAAACAACTTAAATAAGTATTTTCAGATACTTGCACTGTAGATCACTAAGGATTTTAAATGCAGGCAGGCTCGTACTGTCTGTCAGGAGGACTTTTTTTTCCCCCCTGAAGTCCATTTTTCCTCTGTCTGCTTTAAGTTACTATTATCTTCCATTCCTTGTAATAATGGGCTTAAGATCAAGTGAAACTGGAAATGGAAAGAACAGTGAAAGATGACAGACTTGAAGGGGCTTTATTGGGACTACGGGTTGCTCCTGAGGTCAGAATCAGTAAGTATAATTAGATTCCTGGCATTTACAACAAATGTAAAGCAACTCAGAGCTCCCTTTTGTGTGCCTGTAATTAAACATGCACTTTTACTGCCCTCTGCAGTGCTCCAAAGTATCTTTGATTCCAGCACATGAAAGTGGAATGAAAGAGCAGGCCCAAATCTTCATCTCTATATAGCACTCATATTTCTGAAAACAAAGTATTTCTCAGCAGAAACAGAATAACCCCTTTCTAAAGAAACACAAAAGGGAATGTTGTTTTTGCTAATAATTAGAGCCACTCTTGTACCTCCCAGAAACTTTCTCAATAGACAGATAAATAGAAAGGTCCCAACACAGACAGCTGCACCCCACTTTAACCCACAAAACAAGTTCCAAATTTCCACTCAAAGTGAAGTTATCTGTTGAGTGTATAAATCAGCATTTTTTGGATAAATTAGTTTTCTCGTGTGCTTGAACACAATCCAAGAGAGAAGTGACAAGCTCAGAGTGAACAGGACTGGTAATCAAAAAATACAGCGGGGGCCAGCAGAGGCAGATGCTAAATCTCAGTTCCTTGCACGCTTCATGTTCAGGGATTACCCAGGTGCCACAAAACTAAAGAGTGCACAACTGGAGTAAATTCTGCTCAGCATTACCATTTTATCTAACCAAAGTGTATATATTACATTGTAACAACATTGTTTTCCTTGAAAGTAAAATGGATTTTTGACACTTCACGAAGTAATTTCAATCTCTTAACTATTTATATAATATCTTGGCAAATTTATCCCTAGTTGTCAGGAAGCACAAATATTGAATACTAAGGTATTCAATAGCTAGCAGCCAATCTTCTCGCATTATGAGAAACCAAACAGAAGAAAACACAGAAGAGCAAGAACTTCTAAGAACATCGAAATTCTTTTAAAAGTGGGCTTTTACTAGCCCAGTTTTGATAAAGAAATGCCTGATCCCCCAGGTTTCCACAGATCCATCCTCAAGCAGATGTAGGTGCTCTCCATATGTTCTTAATTACATTAGGAGCACAATAAAACAGATAATCCTGAAAACAACTTCAGTAAATACTTGCATGAACAGAAAGTTGTTTGAATGGTATTTTGGACTTAAAAACGGATTTGTGGAAGAAAGCTGGTTTTAGCTTGGCTTCCTAAGAGCATCAAATTGTTGTACTGGCAAGTCTTTTCCAAAATATCTGTCCTGTCACTTCTAATTTTTTCAACTGGCTGTCCAGGTACTGGACAGAAAGGTAAATATGTTCCCTTGCGGTTTATGTGACAACAGCTGACTAATGAATGAAGACCCAATTAATGTCCAAGTGAAGGACAAGTTGGGACAACTCAGCTCTTCAATGTTCTGCTTGCCACCCTACCCACACACGTGTACCAAAGGCCCAGCCAAAACAGATGGAGCTTTAAATTAGCCACAGCCATGACTGCTGTCAGCCAGGCATGGCATGAGGATGCTGAAAGGGGACAGGGCTTGGTGTGAAGGGAGTAAGAGAAACACAAAGCAGAAGGCAGAGGTCTATAAAAAGCAGGGTTGACAGGTTCTCCTGCCTACAGAGCAACCTGCTCAGTTTTATTTTTAGAGGAATTTAACCTAATAAGGCTAAAATTTAGCAGCAGTACTTGCTTGTTCTCCATCTGAAGCTAACTCCACTGCATGCAACTATGCACAACTGAACATATGAATATTGTTTTTCCATAAGATTCCTCTATTACTAGATACTGCCCTAAATGGATGGGGTTAGCCCATATTTAACCACTAGAGGGCTTAACTATCACAAAAAGCTCAGGTTTTTTTCCCAATTTGGTGTTCAGTACCTTTGGAAAAACATCCAAACTGAATGCTAAGTACCAACCATAAAAACTAATTGATCTAAGTAACTGAGACAAAGGGCAAGTGTTGTAGTGAAGACATTACTGTGGATGGCCAGCTCCTTCAGAAAAAAAGTAACAAATCTAAGCCTGTTTCACAAACAGCTACTGAACACAACTACATTTCTAGTCTGGATCATACCCACCTGGTTCCTTCCTGGGTGAGTGTGCTGCGCAGAACTGAAAGCTGAACAGCACCTCAGATTGCTTTTAATGAGATCAACAGAATTAAGATCTGTGAGCAAGCTGGAGCACACCACAGGAAAAGAAAACAAGGGATAAACTAGCCAAAAAAAAAACCCCAAGAAACAGTGACATAGAACCTTACAGTCTGAAGCAGAAGCGACAGAGCACACTGAAAGGTGACATGATAGAGCAGAAATGGAAGAGTGAGTGAGCACAGTGAGAAGCAACACCCATCTCAGAAGGGCAGGGTCATGTACAGGAGGGCACAGCTCAGGGGCAGGGGACAGGCAATGCAAGAGGGTCATATCCCAAGGCCTGTGCTGAGAACCTTGTCTGAGTAGTAGGCAGGTTAGTTGGATTAATCTCAAATTATATACCAGGTTATGAACTAACCACTGAGAAGTTACTCTGCAGAAATTTAAGAGCATCTCAAGACATTAGCCAAAGGAGAATTATTTGTTGTGTGCTCCATTATAACAGAGAAGTGCATCCCAGTTGTTTGCCTGAACATTGCCTAGGGATTTGTGTTCTTCCCAATGTTGTCCCCACATTCTACCCCAGAGCTGGATGCAGCACTCAAGGTGGGGTCTCACAAAAGCAGAACAGAGGGGCAGAGTCCCCTCCCCTGCCCTGGTGCTCACGCTGCTCCTGGTGCAGCTCAGGACACAACTGGTTTTCTGAGCTGAGTGCACATGGCTGAGTCACTTCAAGTTTCTCATCCACCCACCAACATCCCCAAGTCCTTCCCCTCAGGGCAGCTCTCCATCTGTTCATACCCCAGCCTGTATTTGTGCTCTAAAAATTGTCCCAACCCATGTGCTTCCTTATTTCAAAACCAGGTGTAAGTAACCTTACCCTTCTCAGAAGCCTCTAAACAATCTTTTGAATATCCCACTGATCCAACCCGTTTGGGTAGCTACAGTAGGATAGGAAAACTTCTTCAAAGAAAACAAATCCTACTGGAAGTTCTGATACTCAGGTATAGACTGACACACCAAAAATACTTAAGAACAACCAGGAACAGTGTGGCCAGAAAATGTGACGTGAGAAAAGCAATGTGGGAAGAACAGAGGGTGCTCAGTCCATGTTGAAAGCAACTACCATTTTGTTGCCTTCTCTGGAAAAAATACATGTTAGGAAGGCTGTCTCCTTAACATCAGAGCTTAGCACCAACCTTATCCCAAACCCACTGCTTCCTCTTGAAAGTTTCCTCATCATATCAAGCTACCTGACTTCAAAAGTGCCTAACAAATTAGACAGCTGTAAGCAATTTTACTAGCTAAGATACTACCTTGAGCTGATGAGTTTAAGGGGCATAACATCAACACCCAGAAATTCCATTTTAAGAGATAAAACCAGGCGAGGTGACTGTAAAAGACATCCTGTTAGTAAAGAAGATTGAAGTGTTCACCCAGATCTTCTAACAGTTTTTCCTAGAGAACAGAACTTGGCAACCACCTAATGGACCATCTACTAAACTAAATTGTCTCAAATTCACTCTGGTGGCCAAGTAAATAGATTTTAAGGTCTCCTCAAAGTCACAGGATGGTACTAACACAGATATATTCTGGCTTAGTACCAATATCAGACACTTGGCTTTCAGTATTTCCCTGCTTTTCATTATCTATAGAGCACTGCTAGTAGGAAATGAAGAGTCGTATGTGAAAGTAAACGCAGTTCTGTTTATTTTCCAGCAACATCCCACGCAAAAGCAACAGAAACATGAACTGCTCTCAGCAGAAAATCTGTATAGTTGTTAACATTTACAACAGTTTTACATTTAAAACCAGAGAACTGAAAGAATCAAGCACTATCCCTGGACACTGTTTTCTTGACTGCATTAATAAATGACAGTTTACAAATTTCAAGTTAAGGCTACTGCTTCTAAAAAACCCAAAATATTATTGCATAGATTTTACCATGCTGACCTCCAATTTCTTGAGGGTATTAAACTACCAATTGTTTCTGAAACAGTTTTGCAAAAGAAGGTTTTTTCAAGGTAAGATAGTTGATCTTACAGTAATCTTGCAGTAGATGGGTTTACTAGTACGAATCAGCCACATGGTTCAGCACCAGGTGCATTACTTAGGTCAGGTGTTCTACAAGAGCCAGATGTAGAAACAAGGTAACAACAAAAAAATCTCCCTGCTTGGCTCTTGATCTGCAGGTGGACTAAAATCATGTTTACAGTGGGGGAGGGAGTGGGGGGAAATTGGTAAGATCTTGCTGTGCTATTTATAATTACTAGAGGATAGCGCTGCCTTTGGCTAGTTTTTCGATTAAAAAGTTTTATAAAAAAAATCTGATATACATAAATTAAAAGTTAACAAGAAGTCACACAACTTAATTGCAATTTTACAGAAGTCTGGTCAGGAGAATATCTAGACCAATCACAGCTTTGAGACAATCTTCAACTTTGCCTAAGCTTTCTTACTATTAACAGGTTATGGATCAAGCTAACCTTGCAAATTTAAAAGAAACTTTCTCTTAAACAGTTTGCACAGGACTATTTAACTCACAGTATCAAATTCTTTCAGTGGCTCACTCAAACACACTTCCAAGTCAAATTCTCCTTCTGCTTGATAATCAACATGTCTAACTTTGGTGGGAGTGCCAGAACAAGTATCCTGGAAAAGAAAGGCAATTAGTAATTACTAGTAAAGTAGAGGTTGTTAGTACAGGGAATTCAATTAACTTCTGTAATTCATTTAGACCACCTTAGAACAAATGCTAACAAATGCCATAAAAACTTAATGCTAGTCTTAAGATTAAAGAGATGTAGGCTTCTGCCCATCCAAGCACATTTGAAGATACCTTGCAAGTGCTCTAAGGACCTATATATGCAAACGTTAAAACATCATACAGATTTAATATACCAAGTGCTTTCAGGACATAAAAGGAGCCAACTTCTGTGTGACAAGGAAATTCTACCCTATTTTAACATTCAATATTGCAATCAAAAGTCATATTTCAACTGTACATTACAGTTCATTACTGGTTTGCTTTCAACAAATAGATTTTCTTTTGTAGGCTATGAAAAAAATGGGATATTTTTGAGATGAGAATTTCAGTTCTAATTTTCTAAACCAAAGACTACAGACAGATAATGGCTATAGCTGGAAAATACCTGAATTTCAAGACTGCTCAGCTTTATAAACAGTCCCTAAACAAAGTAGATGATGGGATCTGTGAGGTATTCAGGCTACTCTGGATACCATTCTAAGCAATGAACCAATTATCAACAAATATTTACGCAAATGACAGATAAGCTTACATCATCCTGACAGCTTCTTTGAGATTCAGTAGAATTGCTTCCAACAGATTCTGTCTCCATCTCACCAAGGACAACAGGACAACTGTAAAATTATTTAGAAGAATACAGTGTAAAACAAATTGATCTTTTAGTGTTAAGATGCATGTTGTTTTGCACTTTGGGAAAAAACAGTGGCCAAAGGAGAGCAAAGAGACCTAGAGAAATCACAGGGACAGCAGTGGTAAACTAGGGAGGACAGACAGAACTGCAGGACAGCTCAGTACTGCCAAAATAGCCAAGGACTGAATTTAAAGTCTTGAGACTGAATACTGCAACTTGTTAAAGACAAAAGGCCAGTGCTCAAGCAACGCCTCAGTGCAAATGTTACAGAAGAGGAAGGATTATTTTTTCCTCAGACAAGGTATTCATCTGTTTTGCAAAGATTTAATATCCATTATATGCAGACCTCAGCATCTGAAGGTAGTATTCCAACACCAGTGCACACAGCAGGGTTGTGGATGAAGTACCAACTTCACTCACACTGATGGCAAGTAAAGGGAAGCTTAAAATGAAGCTTTGCTTTTAAATCCTATTGCTCTGCACTAGTTTTAAAATCAGCATTCCATTAAGGAAAAGCACTACTTTATTAACACAGAACTGCTTGCTGAGGAATTAAGCTCTCTTTGTTCCCTTCATTCTCTAGTGCCAGTTTTATGTCACATGTTGCTGATCAACTCTATTGCTTTCTACAGAGGAAAATAATTAGGGTATCTACAGGTTAATATAATAATACAGGTTATATATAATAATTAGGGTATCTAATTAGGGTACTCTACATCTTGTAGAGCCTGGACTATGAACACTTGTGACCATGCTTTGAGCTTGGTGGTACCTTGGGATAAGTTCACAATTCTCCCTCTCTGGTCAAGAAATCTTTTATACCACTGTTTTTGAACTAGCAGGTGAGAAGGGTGGGGCAGGTTCTTGTACATGGGGGACTGGTCCAAGCTCAGTATTCAGGACATCTGCCATTAGTGAGAACTCTGCAGCACTGCTCCTACCAGATAATTTAAAGACAGCTCTGAAAGAACTGGCTCATGTCAATAGCGTGGTGATTGTTTTATAGAGCAGTGCAGAACTGGCTCTGCTTTCACCACTAAAAAAGTGAGGGATATGTATGTATGCCCTTCCAAGGACATTGGGCACGAACCAGGAAGCAATTGGATATTTTGACTGAGAAGGAACTGAACAGCATTAACTGTGGGTAAATAATTAGTGAAAACATTCAGCACTCACTGACTTGTCTAAAAAAAACTATGCTGGGAGTGGTGTTTATTTCTTAAACATGAGACTTCACACCATAATTTCTATAAAAGCATCTTGAATACTCTGTACATACATTTCCTGCAGATCACATCCTCCTTCAGTTGGTGGATCCCAGGAATGCAGTGCCACTTTCCACAGTTTAATCTGCTGGTCCCATGACCTACGGCTGTACTTCTTAAATTTGTTTGGAGTTCTGGGATGAACTCCTGGTATACGATGGCATCTGTTCAGACATTAGACATGAAAAATTCATCAGTGCTTTATTCACATACATAACATAGCTCTAAATGTTAACTGATGGTATTATTTATGTGAAAAACCAATGTGCAATTCCAGCACTCAAACAAAGATTTGCCAGCTCCATACCAACTTCTTAGTTTTTCTGACTTCAAGTCAAATGAAATAATAATAATAATAATAATTACCATTCACAATGATAATAATAATTATCATTCACAGGTCTGAAAACCACATTCCAAGCTCAGTTGCAATTGTAGCCCATTTTTTCTTGTAGTTAACTCATGAGAAATCTGACTGCAAAACACAGTTTCATTTCCTCTAATTGACAAGCACATCCAAAAGAACTTTCATTTCCATTTCAGCAGCATGAGGTATTTCTTATATACTGACTCATTAAAATAAAACCTCAAACCACATCTCAGTTGTTTGCTAATGTGATCTACCAGTTCAAAAATGTCTTAAAAGTTTAATTTGTAGATGCCTTCTATTTGAATGTGTATTGGATACCAAGTTTAGTACATTAATGTACTTAAAAATAACAGGTATGATTTGCAGGTGGACATTTAATTTTCTAGAAAGTCAAGCAGCTTACCTAGGAACTTCTTTAATGTATCTATCATATGCAATTGTGTTTTTTCCATAGTTTATCTGTTTTTGTCTTCTCATCAAAACCACCTCATCTGTCTCAAGTTCTGCCGTCACCGTGGACTCCTTTGAGTCGGAACTGAAGAAGAAAAAAACATTATAGGTTTGGAACTACTAGAAAACCAGAACAAACCCACCCAGAACAAAACTCAAACACAAACCCACTTGTAAAAGGTGATAAATAAACATGTTAAAAATTTTCAAACAAATGGTCAGGGTGTTACTAAACCATGGTGTTGGAAGAGACTTGAGATGAACTATTTTAAACTGTGTTTTAAGAAACAACATTTTACAATGAAAATTATACTTTCAAGATTTTTCTCAGCTAAGCTAGAAATTTAACCTACCTTCCTGAGGAGGACTTCCTTTCTCTTGAAAATTCATTTATCAGGAGCTTTCTTCTGTGTCTGTAAGAATTCAAAACAGTTTTAAGAAATTATATACACAAAGAGGAATATGAAGGCTGCAATGTTACAGCTCACAGTTGAGTTAACTTCTCAGAAAAGCAGCAGCACCCCAGACACTGCAAAAGCCTTTTTGCTATGAAATGGACATTTCAGTTTTCCATTAAAAAAAAACAAGAAAAAAACAAGGACTTTATTTTCCTAACTATTTTCCCTAAAGCAACTTCTTGTAGCAATAATACAAAAAAGAAGTCATCAGTAAGACTTTCAATCTAAGAGATTCAGGAAAAGTTTCTTCCAAAAGGGAGATATTTAGGGATACACATCCAATCTCCAGAATATCCCATGATATTCCTCCATGACTTAACCCAAAGCTGATCTAAAAGCAGCAGACAAGAGGCTAAGGTTGGCAAGATATTACTACAATGGTGAAGTTAAAAATACAAGTTGAAACAGATCCTATAAGACAGCTTCCATTTCCTTTCCTTTCACCACTTGATCTTAAACATCCAGGGGTACCTTGCAATTTCTTTGTTAACATTGGTCCTCATTTCATCTTCTTCCACTGCAGTTCCCCAGTCTAGACATCGGGGAAGGGGTCCAGGACCTTCTGGTGTTGTAAAACTAGAAAGAAAAACAAATTAAGGCTCTGTGTTAAAAATTTGGCTTATTATATTTACCTCCCCTACTCACAGCTTGATCCCTTAAACATAGTTATTTACAGTACTCAAAATGGCCGTGAAAAACTTGATTTCTATTCAAGTTTTATCACTAATATTAAGCATCAGTTGTGAGTTCCACCTTGAGGCTGTGTGGCTTGTGTTGGGTTTTCTTAAAGTTTATGAAGGTATCTATAGAAACATATCACTGCAGCTTGATAACCCAGCCCATGCTTTCAGTAACTTCCAGCTCATGTTCTTCAGAAAATGGTACATGAAATATCAACTTTATTCATTTACTCACTTATTTTTACTCCACTAAATGACTTAGCAATTATTTATTCTTCCATAACTGCAGACTCATTAGCTATATAAGAGATAAAAACTGGAACACAAAATTAAGTTGCAAAGCTAATTAATTAAAATTACATGTTAGCACCAGGAGTTGCTCCACATAAATATATGCCTAATAGAGAAGGCAAAGGCACAAAAAACATCCTGTTTTAGCTAGGAAACTGAGATTTGCTATGACTTTGCAAATTGATTTAACAACTTTACTACAGCCATTAGCATCACAAGCAGGTTCAGACACTTGCAGGGGAATAAGCTCATATCCTTTTACAACCACCTATTGCTGCATGCATTCAGATTATTCAATGTTCCCCCCATCTGTCTTCCTGATGATCAATTTTCCCAAAGTAAAACTCAAAACTGTATCTTACAGAGTAGAGCTTTTTCAGTAGATCTGGAAATGCTCTGGAGACTTTGCAGGATTCTGTGCAAACATGTCCCTTGGAGTCAGGGAATTAGATCCATTTGCACTAAAACCAGCTCCAGCTCCCTCCCTGCTCCCAAACTGGTTTGCACAACTTTGAACATTTTGTTAAATTCAAACTAAAAGTTCTTTTTAGATGAAACCCAGTTACCAACTTAGCAAAATTAAAAATCCATAGCAAATAGTACAGGTCCCTCTGCAAAGATCTGTTCAAACTCCAAGGATTTTTAACTTTTGCTTATACCAATTTCTAGATTTGCAGAGAATACAGGCACATTCAGTTATTGGTCTCCTGTGATAAGAGAACAAATAGCAGAATCCAAGTTAGTTCCAACTCCTGAGCTTTTTCCTCAACCCTGTGATGTACTTTTTTATACTTGCTTGATTCTGCACCTGTGCTGTGATTATTGAGATGACCCAGCCTCCAGCCTGCTCTTCTTTACTTTTGAGAATTTTAATTTGACATGGTTGGATTGGCATAAACAAAAAGTAGTTTTGGCAGAGAAAGAGAACAATTTCAGTCAGAGGTCAACCCAAACTGAAACCAGGAAGTATGCCTGCACAATACTGGAAGACACACAAGTGTTGATTATTTACATTGAAACTATCTGTAAAGTTTCATCCTTTCGACTGCTGTTTGACCAGGCTTCCTGGAATTACTTTAAGAGTGTAACTTGAACCACTGACCACCGTGTTCCGTGCTTATTGTCAGGAAAGGAAAATGGGTGGGCAGAACCTACATTGTTTCAGATTAGAAACCTTGATTTAATCAGCTGGGCTGTGCCCACAACTCCCATCCACAGATCAAAGTAACTAAAGAGAGCATGGCATGAATAGCTCAGACTGCAAATGTGATGGGGAAAAATATATACTTAAGTCTAGTTGTGCTGGGAAACACAGAAGGCAGCATTATGGGATGACCTCAAAGCTGGATCCCCCTGTGCTGAAATATAACACAACTTCTCAGGGTGGTCTGTACTCCCTTCAGAAACATAAAATATGATTTCTAAGAACTAAATTTTTGTAATTTCTTTAGTTTTGCCACAATTGTTTGTACAGCTTGTATTTACAAACAAAGTATTAGTTTTTGATAAATGGCAATAAACCAGCATGAAATAGGACATAAATTTTCAAGAACACATTTCAAGAATTAAGAATGAAAAATGTTGACTCTTAAGAACTGACTCTAAGATAAGAGCACTGCACTCAATCCTTTTCCCTCCTTTACGACCAGCTATTAGCAGCTGATGAGCGACTGATAAACGGGCAGGGCTTGGAAAACTGAGTAGAAGGGTCAGTTCAACAGCTCGTGGTGAACAAAAGAGCATGGAGTCGCTGCCATTGTCACCACTGCTCACCTGTCCAGCCGGCTGTCCTCAGGCCTGGGCTCGTTTGCCTCAAACACGGAAGATTCGGGCTCGTTCTGCCTCCGCCGCTTCCCATCGGCGCCGCGTTTCCGTGCCTGGGCCCAGCGCGGGGGGTGCTGCGGGCTGGGGACAAACGACACACGAGCACCCAGCTGGGCTTTAGCGCTTTAACCTCCTTCAGGGCCCGCGGTTATTTACCGATTGCACCCCCGCCAACGCAGAGAGGCGACGCCACTCGCCGCGAGCCCTCTGAGGGGGCTCTGCCCCCCCACACCCCCTCAGAGAACTGCGCCTGCGGATGGCGGGGAGCGAGGGCCGCGGGACACGGGGCCCGGCGCCGCCACCACCCCCCGCCTCGGCCCGGCGGCCCTACCTGCTCTTCGTGCTGCCGTGCGGGCTCCTCTGGCGGAAGGACATGGCGCGGGGTATCCTCGGGAGGGAGGGCTGGAGGCAGAGCCGGGCGCACGGGGATGAGGCGGGCGGTGAAGGAGAGCAGGGCGGTGGGATGGGCAGGCGCTGAGGCAGAGCCGAGAGAGCGCTGCCGCCTTCCCGCTCAGCCCCTTCGCATCTCCCGCCGGTGCTGAGCGACACCGCCCGCTCCGCCTCCCCGCGGGGCGCCTCCACCGGGACAGGTGCGGAGGGGGGGACGAGCCCGAAAGTGCAGCGCCCTTAAACGCTCACACACATCCCCACCCCCCCGCCGAGGTAATGGCTCAGCCCGCTCCCCTGGCCCCGCCCCCGGGGCGTGTTGGCGGGAGAATCGAGCGCGGCGGCGCGCGGTTTTGGCGCGCGGTTGCGGCGGGACTCACGTGAAGCGGGAAAAAAACCCATCCCAAACAAAAAGAAAAACACAAATTCCCGCGATTTAAATATTAAGGATGACGGTTCCTCGGCACGGCTCTACAGTCGATAAAGCGCACAGGGTATTTCAAACCCCAGCCCAGACGGTTACCACATAAGCTTCACAATGACACGGCATTAAATTCCGTATCTACAGTGAAGAAGGTTGGGTAATGACACGAGGTGGCCATGCCTTTAGGTTCTTGGGCCTTTCTGAGGTTTTCACTTGCACATGCATGCATGGTGAGATCCTGTCCGTGCTATGGGGCACACACATTTTAGAACAGTAATTTAGAAACAACCTGAAGAACTCCAGCAGAACACAAACAGTTTTAAACAATAATACATTTGCAGCCTCAAGATTGGTGGGACACTTCAGAGAGATGTCAGCCTTACAATCCCAGGATTACTAAGGTTGAAAAAGCCTTACAAAAACAGGTTCAGCGAGGTTGGAAGAGCCCTCTAGGACCATCAAATACAACCATTATTAACGAGGCACTGCTAAGTGTCCCCAGATACCACGTCTGGTAAAACAGATGGCAGAAGTAGCAAACAAAAATTTGTTTGGTGGGTTTTTCTAATCAGCTTGAAACACAAAGGCAACTATCGAAGTGCAGCAATGGTTTTGGAGAAACTTTCTGAGTATACAATAACAAGTGGTGTTTGGTTTTGATTTCTTCTTTTTTTAAATAGATACTCTTCAGCCTTCATGAAGGGATTTACTTTGAAAACCCCATTCCTGTTGCCTGGCCGTACTATGGTAAATTTTGTACAAACTCACACATCTTCTGTGTGGCATCTGCATGAGCATCCACATTCTTACATAAAGTGTGCTTTGCTGGTACCACCTCTCCTTTCCCACACACACTATTCTGGAAAACAGATCTGAACCAAGGTCATGCTTGAAGTTCAGCAGAGGTTCAAAACATGCACAAACAAACTTCCTTCCCTTCAGCCTGGCTCTGACTTAAGCTAGAACAGCATGTTTACCTGAACACAGCCAAGCAAGGCAGACAGAGGACAGCTCCAGCGTGGCAGCTCACAGTACTTTTAGCACAACACTATACACAAATTAAATTCAGTTTTTCTGGCAGAACTATCTGCTGGGACACAGCTCAGGGATTACAGCTGCACTGCATCTTTCTGTCCTTGACAGCAACAAAAATCCTTCAGAAAAGTAGTTTCACACCATGGTGGGAATTTAAGGAGAGGAGATTTCCTCAGCTGTGACCCCAAAGGAGTTTACAAACAAAACAAAGTACACACAAAACCCGCGGCATTTCAGGACTGGCAGTGAAGGATGGTTTCCAGAAACACAATGTATCATCTGTAAGGAGATTCTCTCTGTGGCAGCATGCCAATAGAGGATACTTGCCACTTCCAGGGAGAAACTGAAACCTGTCTGCTGAAGTTCAGGGTACATTTTGGCTTAATTACAAACTGAGCACAGATTTATGCAGAGGAGATTTAATTAAGTTGGGTAAAATTAAAGGAAGAACTGGAGGTGGAGTGCCAGACTTCTGTTTCGCTTACCTCAGTTGTAAACTCTGTGTCAGACAGCCTTGGGTAGGTAAACAAGTACATGGACAGGCTGCATTCCAGTTTTGACTGTTCTGTTTAGACTAATGAGGTTACTAATTAGAACACAGGATAATTCTACATCCAGCGGCAGCACTGCATGAAATGACTTAGTAGACCTCAAACTTCATCTGCTGTTTCATTCCTTCCCTTGTGCTACTACAGCTTGTTCAAGCTATGTTCAACAAAATCTGGATTAGGGAATAAATCTGCCCAAAGTTTAACTGCCACAGGCAGATTGGTTATGCTATGTCTAGTCTAGTATCTTCAAAAAATAGAAAGATCTTTTAAGGACTGAATTGCAATTGCTGAATTACAAATCCTGCAGATGTCTCCCAAAATCCACTGCAGGCCCTGTCAATCACAAGCAAAAGCTTAAGGACTCTTAATACTCATGAAATTCTTAAGGTGAGTTGAAGTATTTCTCAACAGCCAATTACTCTCACCTAGCAGTTCCATCTTCTCCATCAGGACACCTTTCCATGGCAGAATGGGTGCTGGGACTTCAGCTGCTCCCTTCCACTAAGTTACAATGCCCTGAACAAACTGAGGGGCTGGACAAAATATTGTAAACTGCCTTAATTTTAATCTCTGAAGACTCCTCTTTTTCCCTTTAGCAAGGGCTAAAAATCCACAATCACTACCCAAACCAAACCAAACACCCTAAAACAAACAATAAAGGACTACTGAACCTACACATTCCTTTTATAATCAAATTGACAACACAACTGCAAAAGCAGACTAACAAGGATTTTTAAATTTAAAGTCTTTAATTCTTCTGCATAAAGGCAAATTCACAAAAATGTAACACATTCCCTTATTTACAATCATCATAAATCACAAGGAAACATGCAGACTGGAATAATAAGGTTCTAAATAGTACCTCTTAGAAAAGTGCTGTACAGATGTGTCCCTTGTACACACACGCTCGGCACTCTGTGGTGCGTGACTGATACACCCTTGTGCTGAGAAAAATGCCTGAGCATGCCTGGAAATAACATTTTGGGAGTGAGAGTAGTTTCTGGGGAAGCAGCTTACTTCCAAATCAGCAGCACAATGGGCTCTTGGCCCTGGATACTGCCAGCCCCACAGCAACAGAAGGCAAAACCAAACTCCTGCAGAGACAACTCTCAGCTCTAGCAGACATTGGTATCTCAGTACATGCTACACAAGAGCTGTAAAATTCTTATAACTGGCACACAAATTTAATCTAAACCACTGTAGCTACAGCTCTCACTTCAAACTTCTGCTCTGCATACAGCGCTAGCAGAGTAAAAAAAGGGAGAGCCTATCCCAATACCATCACAACCCTTAGCCTGAATAAGAGCAGCTCCACACCTGCAAATACTGCTATTCATCCCCAATTGTTGTAGGAACAACAGGCACTGAATACATCCTCTTCTACTCTTTAACTGTAGACTGGCTCTTTGGGTCAGGCTGCAAGACATGTAAAAGCAAAATCCAAAAAAACCAGACACTCAGCCCCTTCAAGAAAAGAATCTGATTTTGATAAACCATCTACCTTTCCTTTCTCTTCTCTCACCTACGCTTAGACAAATGCCAGCTTAATACATCTCAGAGAACAATAAGTAGGCCAAATGGGTGATCACCCAATCCAAAAGTTATGAACAACTTGTCATTAATGACTGGAGGAAGGCTGAAATTATCTACATTCTTGTGAAGCAGTTCTTCAGGCTGGGTGTCCAATTCTGGTCCAGTGGAGAAGAGGAGGTTCCTTGGTTGGAGAGGTTGCTTTCTTCAGTCTGATTTGACACTGGACCAATTCACTGGTGAAACATCAGCACGCTCTGAGGTACAAGATCTCCAGAGGGAATGATGCTAGGATCCATAAACTGAAGCAGTCTTTGAAATATAAAGCACATGTCACCTGCCAATGCAGGCACAGCAGGAATGTCCTCACAAAAGCTTTAAGGAACATCCATTGTCATTGCAGCACAGACTTCATGAAATCTGAAATTTTACACTTGAGGCACAGCTTGCAGAAAACAATCTATCCTTATAAAGATCTGGAGAAACCTAAACAAAAAAAGCATGTAACAGCATTTTATAAATGTGCTATTTCCAGGCATTTACAGCAAAATATTTCCTCTTTTAAGCTGTAGTGTCACAGTAGCAGTAAATGGAACAAAGCACTGCATTTGGTGAACTTACAGTGCAGTATAAAGGAGAAACCCATATTGTCCATACTAAAAAAAGTGTTACAGCTAGTATGAACATTTTGAGAACATAAATCACTGAAAAAATACATTTTTTCTACATTCCTAGAGTATTTGTCAGAGAGAAAAAGAAGCAGCTGAGCCTATTTTTCCCAACCTCTTGCTTCTTTTTCATCTAAATGTCATTATTAATTCATAAAACAGTCTTTTATCTCAATCCTGATTAACAAATTTCTGCCATATCTTAAGTATCCTATTGACTAAGGTTTTTCCCTAGAAAAAAATGAGATACATTCACATTTATTCCTGTTTAAGATTTTCTTTTAGCAAAAGGGAATATAGTGTGGAATTCTACCATGTAAACCACAATCTGGTTTTCAAGCAAGATTAAACTTCCACAGATAAAGTTCACAACGCTTAAGAGTTAGAGCTCATCACACCTAAAAGACAAGGTTAAAGGCAATGTTGTTCTCAATACTGACCTTTCCATCCCAGAAAACCAATGTGTTGCTCCACAGAGAAGGTGCTTAATTCACTTTGCATATTCTACATCTAACAGAACGTTTTTCTCAATCAGAACAAGTGATTACAAACCCACTGAATATATACACTCCTTAATACAGCCCTATTTACAACAAAGACTGCTGCAAAAAAGCTAAATATCAACTATGTGGAAACCAGAAAAGCTCTTAACTGTGATGTAGAGATGCTTCTTTTACCTGAATAATTTCACTTTATGTTGATTGCACATATGCTGACTGTAAATCTCTTCCTCTTTCAGTGCAGATCCAGCATGACAGCACCAGTTTTCCAAGACTTGATCTGCTGATCTCAGACTACATCCCTATTCTTCAAGTCTTTTTCTGTCACAGGAGAATTTCCTTCTTCAATACTTCTATATACAAAGAGAAACTACATATTTTCAAATATTGAATTAGCTCTTTAGAAAAGTGAATGCATGTTAAATCTTATTCATGCTCAAAGAATTTAAATTAAAAATCAATAAAGTAAAAAGAAAAATGCCATCAGCATAATTTTTTAAAAGCTCTAGCTGCCTTTTCCTTACATTGCTATAATTCAAAATATAAGTGTAGAACTACTTTTGGCCATATTCTTAATGAGTTTTAAAAGGCAAAATATTCAAAGATCACTGTTTAACAGACATTTATATCCTAGTCCATGTTTCTGAGCCTGCATCAAATGCAGATCAAAGACAATCTAATTACACAAAAGACTAACTGCTAATAAAATCTGTTTGACCCAGAATCCCACCCATCCTATTAATGCACCACGGGAATCTACAGTCCAAGAAAAAAATTTCAATAAAATCGACTGCTGCAAATTCTAAGTCGTGACTTCATCACAAAAACATTAAGAGGCAGAAAAGGTGCTACTGAAATACTTAAAAAACCTGGCACTTTTAATTTGAGAGATAAAAACACATTTTCTGGCTGACAGGTAGCAATTTCAATTAAGTGTGTCTGAAGCATAAGATGTTTTAAGTTAAGATGCTGTATTAAGTGCAAGAGGATGGGATAAAACACTAATAAAATAAAACATAAACTGATTTAACAGCTGGATTCTGTAGAACGATATTGTCGATGGGCTACTTAAACAGAACAGCAAAAACTGACCTTGTTATTTAGATTTTTCTCCTCAATATTGTATCTTCAGCATTTGCACTTTCCCACCCTCTGTTAGGGTATTCTGACTGATGTCCTTCCAGTAAACTGCTACAAAGTTTAAGCCTACAAAAAATAAAACCAGAACACAGAGACTACGTGGCTTTACTATGGTAACTTTTCAATACTAAATACAGTTACAATCCATTTAACTTAACACAGACTGTAACATGAAAAGCGAAGGACAGAATTTTATCACACAACAAATAAATACTACATATTCATATAATTTAGATGTTCCTTATTTCTATGCTATTTCTATGTTTAAACATAGGTATCAACACATCTCAAAGACAAATAGTAAAAATAGCTAAATAAAAATTAAAAATCAAATGTTTATAATAAATGCTTGGATTGAATTACAGCAAAAAGCAATTAAGCTGCTAAAATAACATGCAAAAAAATATCCCTGAACTCCAACTGATGAGCAGCATTTGATACCTCTCCAGCCTGCAGTCTGCATCTCTGCAGGGCTTGCTGTCAGGCAGAAAGAAGCTGGATAGCTTCTGACTTGGAGTGTTCCATCCCGAAGAACAGCTGGCTGGAATCGGGTCACTGCATAAAAACAAACAACTATCACTGTCGTCACTCCAAAACAACTTAATCTCTGGAGAGACAGAGAGGAAGCTTCCAGCTCTTAGACCAAAGAAGTGAGAGGCAAACTTCCAATTCTTTCCACAAGACAGAGTATGAAAGGGGCTGATCATTTTCCAGCATTACCTGGGATGGCAGAGACAGCAGAAAGCAAGAGATGGAGAGTCAGACTGGAAAAAGCCAACTCAAAGAACAGAAATAACAACCATGCCATGTGCTGGAGGAAATGGAAGAAGGCAAAAATAATGATAAAACAAAGAAGTAGTAAGTGATAGAAAATATTAAAAATATTAAAAAGAACAGAAAAGGACATCTTTACAGCATAAGCAATAAACAGAAACAACAACATAATCACTGGGGTACTCACCTTGTTATTTCTATGCTTTGTTGTACTGTCATTACTTCATCTTTTTCACCAAAGGCTTCCCAATCTGAGCACTTTGAATAAGACCCCTGATGTCCTAAGTCAGTGAGGCTGGAAAGAAAACGAAAATGTCTGAATCCATGCACTGTGGCAACACATTTCCTATTAATTTTTCAGAGGGGGACTAAGTAGAGAGAAGAAACCATACTTGTATGAACATTTTTACTAAGGTTAGTGTGAAATGTCTACTAAACTGCCAAAACCCTTAGTGTTGCCTGTTGTGAATCTACACACACAAAATACAACCTGTGCTGTGTCTACTGACACTTTGCAATGGAGCAATGTAAATATTTGCTATCATACAGCACAGTTATTCAAACATGATTTTCCTTCCTCATTAATTTACACACGTTTAAATAAAATCAAAGCTATTAACAAAGGGAGGGGAAAATACCAGTCATATTGCTGAAGCCAGTTCATCATATCAATGAATTCCCACATGGAGAATCATTTCATACCTTTCCAGTGTTTGGTACATCTGGAGATAATGGTTTTTGCTCTCTGACACCACAGGGGAGTCAGAATTGTTTATTTTTCTGCGTTTCCATACTGGAGAAGAATCGGGAGAACAGGAACTGCAAAAATAGATTTTAGACACATGACATTTTTTATCTATGTTTAAACATTTAACAATGTTCTGCTAAATAATAGCACGTGCTACAGAGGAAGTTTTCTTTTGAGCTATGATTCTTCAGGCACACAGAGGAACACTGAGCAAAGCGCTCACATTTTGGAAGCCAAACCATTTTGAGCTCCACACACGTTCCCCCAGGACAAGATATTTCAGTAAACAGGGAAGTGCATGTCACAGTCAGTCTCCCTGCTGTTCTGCAGACAGGCACAATATGACTAAGATGGGGACTCCTGCTTCTGAAAAAGCTCCCCTACTTTCAGAACATTCCAGCAGTGGTTAAAGAAACCTCAGTAAAACTCCACTGTATAAACTGTGAAGCTGAAAAAACACTGCATTTCCTTCTGCTAAATCATGTAATTCCTCAATGCTGTTTTTCTTTTTCCATATTCAGTGCTCTGTACCACCGATGGATTGCGATCAACAGCAAAAATGTCAAACTCCAAAGCTGAGTATGAACTGCCCTTCCAAACTAAACATTTCCTACAACAACCTGACGGCACTGACATGTACTGAATTCTTTCCCTAAGTTAAGCACAGAAGTTTCCTCTCATACCTCTCAGGTGTGTAGTAGGCAGTCTGTCTACATTCATCTTCACACTCATTTCTCTTCTGTTTTTTGTCAAACACAAAGGAGCCAGAAACATCCTCATCTTGGCAGAACCATTCCTGGGAACTACCTGAAGGTTCTGTACTGCTAAACACAGGAGGAAAAAAAAAAGCTTTCAAAAAATATAGTTTGCTTTTCCAAACTGAAAACAGTTAAGCTGCAGCAATAATTAACAGTTCATTTCATATGACACCCAAATGGTGTAAAAACTGTAACTTCTACCACAGGTCAATTACAACTCAGATAAAACTATTTAAACAGCGAAGTGAATTCCATTCACTCTTTTCCCAATTTACTAGTCCAAATCTTGTAAAGCATGAGGTGGCATTAAGCAGCAGAGCCAGCCCTGTTACAGAAATTCAAAGCTGTGAAAACAAAAATATTTCCTTCTTGAACACAGTTGCCACCACCCTACAGAGAGCACAGAAATATCTCCCTCATCTTCTTAAACATCTCAAATCCTCTAACATATTGTCACTCTAGGAGACATGTGGTTCCACTGACATCAGGAAAAGGAAAGAGGGAAAGTTATCAAAGTCAAGGACCAGTAATCGCAAATTTCTGCTTTTGTCTCTCAGTTTTGGGAACAGTAATGTTACCTTGTGCCCACCAGTGCAAATACAAAGCGGGAGGGAATGTACTGCTGCAGGCAGAACAAATGCCTTTCTCCCCATAACAGCTGACTGCACATTAACTTGGACTAAATAACTGGAATGCCTTGGAGACTGAGAATTCCAGTGGAAAACAATGAATTCAAGAAGACTCCCATGTTTGAGTCTGATCTTTTTTCTCCCAGTCAGAAATGCTCTAAATGAACTACAGAGCCCTCCTTAAATCTCTTAAGCCCTGACTTAATTCACCCATGTAACATACACGGGCTGCAGATCCCAGGTTTCTTCAGCAGGAGGATCCCAGGCATGCAGGGCTATCTTCCACAGCTTGATCTGCCGGTCCCAGGACCTACGGCTGTACTTCTTAAACTTGTTGGGAGTTCTAGGGTGAACTCCCGGAATTCGCTGGTTCCTGGCAATACACAGTAACATTTAATGTTTCAGAACATAAGGAGCTTTTTCCTTAAAAAGAATCCTTAGCCCATCAGGGTCACACAAGCATCGGTGATCTAGTGAATAAAATGTTTATATTTTGAAACACTTCACAGAAATGTGTATAAGACATTATCAAAAATAGATCACAAGAGGAACAACTAATGTGCTGAGTCAGACTGGAGGCTCATCCAGTCCAGCACTCTGATAGCTGCCAAAAGTCGATCCTTATTGCCCATGAACAAAGACAAAACAGAAGCATAACTCATACTACTTCAACATTATCCTAACCTCCAGCTCCTTCCACTTTACTTTTGCAATTGACAAATTGTAGATTCTTTTGTTTAGTACTGTACTGAGCCTGTTGAAGTTGGAGTTACCTGCCCCCACAGCACTCCCTGTAGTGCTGTGTTTTGCACTGATTGCTGAAACAGTGCTGATAACCACACTGATTTTTGGGCATTACTGAACAGTGCTTGCACAGCTTCAAGGCATTCGCCTTTCTCCACCCCACAGACACTAAGGTGAGAGTGGACACTAAGTTGAGAGGGAAAAGTGCTGGGACAGCTGACTCAAATTACCCAGAGATATCACACATCACATAATATCACACTCAGCAATAAAAACCTCAGGAAGAATTTGAAGAGAACTAAGGCTGTGTGCTATTCTATGCTCACACACATCCACACACACACGAACACACACCCACACACACCAGGAAGAAATAAGAGTATGTTTGGAAATCTGCAACACAGTGCCACTTACTTTGGGACTTCTTTAATGTATCTGTCATATGCAAGGGTATTCTTTCCAAAATTGATCTGTTTTTGTCTCCTCCTCAGGACCACTTCATCAGTTTCTCTTTCAGCTGGATTACCAGTGTTGCTTGAAACAGAACTTGAAAAGAAAAGTAAGAATTCAGTTAAAAAGAACCTTAATAGCTTTATAAGAAGTTAGATGAACACACATTCTAGAACTGTCCTGTATTCTTACTGATAAGACAGCAAGCATAACTTTTGCTTCAGTAGTTCACAGAGGTGAAAGCTGTGCTAATCAAATCTGAGTATCAAAAAAATACACTGAAGTAGCTTTTGAGATAAGTTTTCTCAGTGCTACTCCCTCCTTAAGTCTTTCTTCAGGCTTGACATGAAACAGCCTGTGGCTGGTTTCAAATCTTCATTAATGCATGCAAAGGAGTCAAAGATCATCAGATGATTATTGTTAAAACCAATGGAAAAAAAAGCAGTAATAGTTCAAGACCTACTCAGTCATATTTTTGTTTGATGTCGTCATTGTTTTGTCTTCTTCAATTGTACCTTCCCAGCTGGGGCAACTGGAAAGCGGTTTAGAATGTTCTGATGTTGTAGAGCTAGAAACAAATGGGAATTCAACATGAAAGCTTGCTGCTTGTAACATATTTAATCAACAGAAACATCAGTAATGGAGAAAACCAGCTCCATAACTGTCAAACTATAGGCATGAATCCCCATCTGATGAGCAGCATTTGATACCTCTCCAGCCTGCAGTCTGCATCTCTGCAGGGCTTGCTGTCAGGCAGAAAGAAGCTGGATAGCTTCTGACTTGGAGTGTTCCATCCCGAAGAACAGCTGGCTGGAATCGGGTCACTGCATAAAAACAAACAACTATCACTGTCGTCACTCCAAAACAACTTAATCTCTGGAGAGACAGAGAGGAAGCTTCCAGCTCTTAGACCAAAGAAGTGAGAGGCAAACTTCCAATTCTTTCCACAAGACAGAGTATGAAAGGGGCTGATCATTTTCCAGCATTACCTGGGATGGCAGAGACAGCAGAAAGCAAGAGATGGAGACTCAGACTGGAAAAAGCCAACTCAAAGAACAGAAATAACAACCATGCCATGTGCTGGAGGAAATGGAAGAAGGCAAAAATAATGATAAAAAAAAAGAAGTAGTAAGTGATAGAAAAGATTAAAAATATTAAAAAGAATAGAAAAGGACATCTTTACAGCATAAGCAATAAACAGAAACAACAACATAATCACTGGGGTACTCACCTTGTTATTTCTATGCTTTGTTGTACTGTCATTACTTCATCTTTTTCACCAAAGGCTTCCCAATCTGAGCACTTTGAATAAGACCCCTGATGTCCTAAGTCAGTGAGGCTGGAAAGAAAACGAAAATGTCTGAATCCATGCACTGTGGTAACACATTTCCTATTAATTGTTCAGAGGGGGACTAAGTAGAGAGAAGAAACCATACCTATATGAACATTTTTACTAAGGTTAATGTGAAATGTCTACTAAACTGCCAAAACCCTTAGTGTTGCCTGAATCTACACACACAAAATACAACCTGTGCTGTGTCTTCTGACACTTTGCAATGGAGCACTGTAAATATTTGCTATCATACAGCACAGTTATTCAAACATGATTTTCCTTCCTCATTAATTTGCACACATTTAAATAAAATCAAAGCTATTAACAAAGGGAGGGGAAAATAACAGTCATATTGCTGAAGCCAGTTCATCATATCAATGAATTCCCACATGGAGAATCATTTCATACCTTTCCAGTGTTTGGTACATCTGGAGATAATGGTTTTTGCTCTCTGACACCACAGAGGAGTCAGAATTGTTTATTTTTCTGCGTTTCCATACTGGAGAAGAATCGGGAGAACAGGAACTGCAAAAATAGATTTTAGACACATGACATTTTTTATCTATGTTTAAACATTTAACAATGTTCTGCTAAATAATAGCACATGCTACAGAGGAAGTTTTCTTTTGAGCTATGATTCTTCAGGCACACAGAGGAACACTGAGCAAAGCGCTCACATTTTGGAAGCCAAACCCTTTTGAGCTCCACACACGTTCCCCCAGGACAAGATATTTCAGTAAACAGGGAAGTGCATGTCACAGTCAGTCTCCCTGCTGTTCTGCAGACAGGCACAATATGACTAAGATGGGGACTCCTGCTTCTGAAAAAGCTCCCCTACTTTCAGAACATTCCAGCAGTGGTTAAAGAAATCTCAGTACTCTGCTGTATAAACTGTGAAGCTGAAAAAACACTGCATTTCCTTCTGCTAAACCATGTAATTCCTCAATGCTGTTTTTCTTTTTCCATATTCAGTGCTCTGTACCACCGATGGATTGCGATCAACAGCAAAAATGTCAAACTCCAAAGCTGAGTATGAACTGCCCTTCCAAACTAAACATTTCCTACAACAACCTGACGGCACTGACATGTACTGAATTCTTTCCCTAAGTTAAGCACAGAAGTTTCCTCTCATACCTCTCAGGTGTGTAGTAGGCAGTCTGTCTACATTCATCTCATTTCTCTTCTGTTTTTTGTCAAACACAAAGGAGCCAGAAACATCCTCATCTTGGCAGAACCATTCCTGGGAACTACCTGAAGGTTCTGTACTGCTAAACACAGGAGGAAAAAAAAAAGCTTTCAAAAAATATAGTTTACTTTTCCAAACTGAAAACAGTTAAGCTGCAGCAATAATTTACAGTTCATTTCATATGACACCCAAATGGTGTAAAAACTGTAACTTCTACCACAGGTCAATTACAACTCAGATAAAACTATTTAAACAGCGAAGTGAATTCCATTCACTCTTTTCCCAATTTACTAGTCCAAATCTTGTAAAGCATGAGGTGGCATTAAGCAGCAGAGCCAGCCCTGTTACAGAAATTCAAAGCTGTGAAAACAAAAATATTTCCTTCTTGAACACAGTTGCCACCACCCTACAGAGAGCACAGAAATATCTCCCTCATCTTCTTAAACATCTCAAATCCTCTAACATATTGTCACTCTAGGAGACATGTGGTTCCACTGACATCAGGAAAAGGAAAGAGGGAAAGTTATCAAAGTCAAGGACCAGTAATCGCAAATTTCTGCTTTTGTCTCTCAGTTTTGGGAACAGTAATGTTACCTTGTGCCCACCAGTGCAAATACAAAGCGGGAGGGAATGTACTGCTGCAGGCAGAACAAATGCCTTTCTCCCCATAACAGCTGACTGCACATTAACTTGGACTAAATAACTGGAATGCCTTGGAGACTGAGAATTCCAGTGGAAAACAATGAATTCAAGAAGACTCCCATGTTTGAGTCAGATCTTTTTTCTCCCAGTCAGAAATGCTCTAAATGAACTACAGAGCCCTCCTTAAATCTCTTAAGCCCTGACTTAATTCACCCATGTAACATACACGGGCTGCAGATCCCAGGTTTCTTCAGCAGGAGGATCCCAGGCATGCAGGGCTATCTTCCACAGCTTGATCTGCCGGTCCCAGGACCTACGGCTGTACTTCTTAAACTTGTTGGGAGTTCTAGGGTGAACTCCCGGAATTCGCTGGTTCCTGGCAATACACAGTAACATTTAATGTTTCAGAACATAAGGAGCTTTTTCCTTAAAAAGAATCCTTAGCCCATCAGGGTCACACAAGCATCGGTGATCTAATGAATAAAATGTTTATATTTTGAAACACTTCACAGAAATGTGTATAAGACATTATCAAAAATAGATCACAAGAGCAACAACTAATGTGCTGAGTCAGACTGGAGGCTCATCCAGTCCAGCACTCTGACAGCTGCCAAAAGTCGATCCTTATTGCCCATGAACAAAGACAAAACAGAAGCATAACTCATACTGCTTCAACATTATCCTAACCTCCAGCTCCATCCACTTTACTTTTGCAATTGACAAATTGCAGCTTCTTTTGTTTAGTACTGTACTGAGCCTGTTGAAGATGTAGTTACCTGCCCCCACAGCAGTCCCTGTAGTGCTGTGTTTTGCACTGATTGCTGAAACAGTGCTGATAACCACACTGATTTTTGGGCATTACTGAACAGTGCTTGCACAGCTTCAAGGCATTCGCCTTTCTCCACCCCACAGACACTAAGGTGAGAGTGGACACTAAGTTGAGAGGGAAAAGTGGTGGGACAGCTGACTCAAATTACCCAGAGATATCACACATCACATAATATCACACTCAGCAATAAAAACCTCAGGAAGAATTTGAAGAGAACTAAGGCTGTGTGCTATTCTATGCTCATACACATCCACACACACACGAACACACACCCACACACACCAGGAAGAAATAAGAGTATGTTTGGAAATCTGCAATACAGTGCCACTTACTTTGGGACTTCTTTAATGTATCTGTCATATGCAAGGGTATTCTTTCCAAAATTGATCTGTTTTTGTCTCCTCCTCAGGACCACTTCATCAGTTTCTCTTTCAACTGAATTACCAGTGTTGCTTGAAACAGAACTTGAAAAGGAAAGTAAGAATTCAGTTAAAAAGAACCTTAATAGCTTTATAAGAAGTTAGATGAACACACATTCTAGAACTGTCCTGTATTCTTACTGATAAGACAGTGAGCATAACTTTTGCTTCAGTAGTTCACAGAGGTGAAAGCTGTGCTAATCAAATCTGTGTATCAAAAAAATACACTGAAGTAGCTTTTGAGATAAGTTTTCTCAGTGCTACTCCCTACTTAAGTGTTTCTTCACACTTGACATAAAACAGCCCGTCCATGGTTTCAAATCTTCATTAATGCATATAAAATGTCACAGCGGGCAGTGATGGTAAGAATGCCAAGACCTTCCTAGAGAAGTGTCCCTAAAAGGATGTCCTGGAGGCACAGGCACTTCTGCAGCTGCTCTGTGATTACAGCTCTGAGCCCTGAAAAGGGCTGTTGAGTGAATGCAGCTCTTCAGGTGGCGCGGCAGGAAAGAGACGGAGCCTTCGTACGGAATTCTTCGGGAGGTTTTATTCAGCTCCTTCTTCAGAAGTGTCCAGGGATGAAGAACCAGCAAGTCAGAGGGAGCAGGGGTTCATACAGGAGGATCAGGACTAGTCCACAGAGGGTTCAGGGGCAGAGCAAAGGGGAAAGAGCAGTAGGATACATAGAATCTGCATGGGGTACACATTATTTGCATGGCCTCGTACTGGAGAGACAACTCCTTTTTGCTCATCACAACTGCAGGCTATCAGCTAGGGTTTCTCCCCCAGGGCGAGCAAGGGAAGCTGGAGCCTAAGGGCTTTTTCTTAAGGTGAGAGAGGTTACATTGTTGGCTGAATTACCAGTCTCCACAACTCCCTCCTTCTTTATTAAGAATGCCTCCCCTATAGCTTTTTTTAAGAAATGTAAAAATATGAAAACATAAACACAATAACCTAAAGAATCTACAACACATTATTAATGGAAGAGACAACCCAGCCTCTCAGTCTATAATGTCTAAAGCAGTTCGTAAACCACTTGGGGCCTTTCTCCATCTGAAGCTCTTTGGCATTTTCTCTGAGCAGCTGGATGCTCCTGGATATGGACTGGCTGTGATCTGACAGGATAAAGCAGCAGAGGCCCTCAAAGTTCTGTCAGATGAGTCCATGGACTAACAGGAGATAGTCAATCACTGCATGCTTTTTGCAAGGGGGCATGTCTGGTCATCTCTTCATCTTTGACAAGTGTGCTGAGTGCCTTAGATGTTCTGTTGGCCTGTTTAGTAAGCCAACACCCCAAATGCGAAATTTTGCCCAGGTCTTCTGCAGCGGCCACCCACGGGAGGAAGATGGACACTGAGACCCGTTAATTCTTTGTCCAATCAGTAAATTTAGAATCACTATTTTCATCAGATCCGATGAGAGTACCTTTTTGGCATGCCAATTTGTTTTTCTGTCTCCAATCTTGTAACAGGGTGATGTTTGGGGTGAGGGTACTAAGTTGGCCAAAAATGCAGGGACCTCCTCTGAGACATGAGGGAACTTCACCCCAGGCCCTTCTCCACAGAGAAGAAACACAGCCGGGAGGAGCACTCTGGGAGAGACAGAACTGGAGGAGTCAAATGATGTCTCAACTGTGTAGTTGCACCACTCGGCTGAATTGTAAATTTTTTTGGTTGGGGCTACATCCTTAGTGTAACTAACTGAAGGGTTAAGGAAATAAAAGTTAAAGCAAAAACTGGCTTTGGATGACCCCAACAAGTCTAATTCTCTAGGTTCCTCCGGTGCCTTAGGAAACTTCTCTATCCACCAGTTCCATCCCTCCATAGTGCTCTCTATTGGGTTGGGCCGTCTCCCTGCAAAGGGGGAATCCCAGCAGACGTGACTGTAGTGAGTTATGGACTGAGCCCATGGGCAGGCACATATTGTTCTGCTGGAGTGTACTGGCCAGGGTGACCCACACATTATGGTTGGGTTGGCTGACCATCCAGCCAAGGACATGCTAAGCCATCAGGGGCATCCAGATGATCATCCTGGTGGTGTTGAGGTGGGTGTTAAGATAGGTGTTTTTAATCTTTGGCTGGAAAAAGAGCTTCTGTTTGGTGTATAAACATACATTATTAGACCTTTGGGGGAAGAGGAGGGAATATCTTCATACACTTTGATTTTCCCCTCTACTCTTCATCCCCCTTCTTCATCCTCCCTTTCCTTAATATGACTAAAAGAATGAAGGTATAGGTGGTGTTGGGAAGAGGGCTGTAGCGGGAAGGTAAGCATGGGGGAGGTAAGTCTAAAGGGAAGTGAGGGTCAAGGGACAACTGTGGGTAGCAGTAAATTTGCTAGGATGTGCCCAGCTTTTGGCATTGTTTCCGGTGTTGTGTTTGGTCTGGGACCTGGTGATGGGGTGATGTAGTCTTTGTAGAAGCCGTGTCTTATAGCATTTCCATCTCCAGGCAGTTGATATTTGATCCTGTGGTTCTGTGGTAGACTTGGAGGAATTCTTGATATTTTTGTCAGGGGCAGTGTTGGTTGGCCCTAAATAAGGTTTGATGTATTTCTCTGGGAGCCATTTTGGGCCAGGTGGAGCTGACACACAGGCATATTCCCTCCCCCAGGTAATCAATGGGAAAGGCCCTGCTATTTGTCAGGTCTCAGGATCCTTAATCAGCACTGGAGGCTTCTTGTCCAGCTTAGCTTGGGCCAAATTTGAGAGGTGCCAGGGTATGGAGGGGAGGGGGTTGGGGTTGGCTCTGAAAACGAGCAGTTTAGGAAATTAAATCACATAGAGAGCTTTACATAGTCTCTCAGTGGGAGACATTGTCTCTGTCCCTCCCCACTGCTAAGGACTTGCGTGATGGTACCATGGGTCCATTCCACTATTGACTGGCCTGTGGGATTATGAGGAATGCCTGTGGTGTGCTTCACCCCCCACTGACTGGAAAAGGCATTTAATTTGAGGGAGGTGTAAGCAGGCCCTCTGTCAGTTTTTATTTCCTTGGGGACTCCTAGGGTGGCAAACACCAGAAGATGCTTGATGATATGTGTTGCATCTTCTCCCACGTGGGCTGGGGCAAACACTGCTCCTGAGAAGGTGTCTACTGACACCTTCCAAATTCTTCCAAAGGATGGGAACTGGGTTACATCTGTTTGCCAAACCTGGCAGCTGTTGAAGCCTCTGGGGTTGACTCCAGAGCCTAAGGATGGCAACTGAAAGGACTGACAGTTCTGGCAAGTGGCCATGATAGCTCTTGCTTGATCTCCCGAGAGATGAAACATACACATGAGGGCTTGGGACGTTCTAGCGGAAAAAGGTGTGGGCAAAGATGTCCGGCACATTCACCATCCCAGCTGTCATGGCAGTGTGTCTGCTCTCCTGTTTCCCTCCACGATGGCACCCAGGAGGTTGGTGTGTGACCTCATATGCATTATATGAAACGGATGCTTACTGTGGGAGATAAGATGAATCAGTTTGGAAAGCATCTGGTATAAATTTGGGTTGGAGATTCCTTTTAACAAGGAATGTTCTGCCCTCATAGCTACCCCTGCAACATATGCTGAATCAGTGACCACATTTATAGGCTCTTGAAACTTCTCAAATGCTCTGACAATGGCTGCTAACTCAGCAAGCTGTGGTGACCCTTCTACCACTTGGACGTCAGACTCCACCTCTGTGTCCTGGGATCCTTCCAGGTCATTACTGACTTGTGAGAGGACCCTGAGCTGTCAGTAAAAATGGTTAGAACCTTGAGAGGGGTTTTACTTTGGAGATATTTGGGGACTAAATTAAAAGCCCAATTGAGCAATTTATGTTTGAGATAATGGATTGAAATGTGGCCTGGGTAGCTATCCAGGGCAAACTGAAGACTCCTTGAATTGGAGCAAACGCTCCAAATCCCCAGCAGTGGCCAATGGTAGGTGAATGCATTGAAATCACACTCTACAAGAGAGTGGAGACGAGCTCGGGCCTTCCTTACCAATACTGCCATTAATTCTTGTGTGGTGGTAATTGTTTTAGTCGACTGGTGATGGGGGAACACCCACTCAAGGATGATTAGGGGGTCCCTTGAGTGAGTGTCCCATTGGAAGATAAGGCCATGAAACAGGGGGCCTTACCTAAAATGGCCATGTTGAAGGGCAGGCTAGGTTCATACTGGTGGGTTTATCGAGAGGACAGGGCCTCCTGGACCTTGGTGATGGAGCCTCAGGCCTCGGGCATGAGGGCACGCAGTGAGTCCAGATCCTCATTGCCTCCGAGGAGATTGAAAAGTGGTTTGAGGTGCTCTATTGTTATCCCCAGCAGGGCACATATCCAGTTGATGCATCAGCAGAGCCGATGGAGGTCCTGCAGGGTCTTCAGGTCGTCCCAGATGGTCAGTTGCTGGGGCACAATGGTCTGCTCACATATATGAAGTCTGAGGTAGGTCCAGGGGTTGGCTAGTTGGATCTTGTCTTCCCAGATCTCAAAGCCTTCTCTTTCAGTAGCTTTTATGTTTTTTTTTAAAGTCATGTCCAGGTAAGCATCAGTGGGAGCACAGACCAAAATACTGTCCATGTAGTGGAGGATGACTGCCTCAGGGAGCAGGTTCCTGACGGGGGACAGAATGTGTGCCATGTACTACTGGCATGTCGCTGGTGAATTCTTCTTCCCTTGCGGGAGGACAAGCCAGTGGTACTGTTTTAGAGAGGCTTGTCTGTTAGGGGAGGGGAGAGAGAACGCAAATCCAGGCACGTCCTGGAGGTGGAGTGGGATATTAAAAAACCAGTCTTTAGTATCGATGATGAAAAGTTTCCAATCGCACGGTAGCATCAATGGTGAGGGCAAACCGGGCTGCAGGGAACCCATGCTCTCAATGACCTCATTGATCTTTCTGAGGTCATGGAAGAGCCTCCTCCTGTCTTTGCCAGGCTTTTTTAGAACAAAGGCAGGGGAGTTCTGAGGGCTATTGGTCTCAACATGGTGGTCCTTGGAGAGTTGCTCTTCCACAAGGGCTTCCAAAGCACGCAATTTCTGGTTGGAAAGGGGCCACTGGATGACCTTGTTTCCAGGTGAGTCGAGGAATGGAGGGTATTCCACACTCCACAGCAGCCCCAACTAAAAATTCCTACTGGGGACTGATAGAGAGGGCCCCCATTGGGACAATAGGTCCCTGCCCCCTCCAGAACTTCTACAACAATATTTCTCTTCTATATGAAAGTGCCACACCTCCAATCCCTGAGATCATCCTTGCCACAGGCTGCAGTTCCCAGTTTTCTGGCCGCTCAAAATGGGCAATGATGGTAACATCTGCTCCAGTGTCCAGCGTGCCTGGGCAGCAGATCTTCTTCCCTCTGCAGAACAGGTCACACTCTATAATGGGTTTATTTGAACCCACAGTCTGCATCCACACGGCTGTAGGCTTGAGGGAAACCTCTTCCAAACAGGTGGCAGTAAAAAGGCCTGTGCAATTGGTGCTCCTTGGAATAAATAGTATGGTGCATCAGTGCACATAAGGGAGACAAAAATTTTGTCCCCTGGGTATATTGTCTGCACCTCAGGAATTACATACATTTGTTCAGGTGAGTTGAGCAGGTCACCAATAATTAAAATGTCCCAAGGACTGTCTTCTGGTCCGTATTTTCCAGGTGGACTCTTGTGGAAGCACTCATCAATTAAGTTAATTGATAGGTCGCTTACCAGCTGGCACCAGGTTCCCACCTGAACCGCTCTGATGCACTGGCAATTGCCAAGCTCTTGGAGCTGGTGTCTGTTCTCCCATCTGCTCTGGGATGGTAGAGCAGGGAAGAATGGCTTCTGATTTTGTGTCATCGTGCAGGGCTGTTCTGTGCACTGTTGGAAGTTTCTCAGGCCCAGTCACTCCACCCACAATCCCCTTAGTCACAGCCTGCACCACAGTGTTTTCTGATGATGTGTATCAGGCGCAGGCTTCAACCATTTGTTCAATGGAGGGTTCAGGGTCAACGGGAAGAGCTCTTAAAATTCCCTTGCACTGGGCATTTGCATTAGCTATAGCCATTTTATTTAATACTTCTTTCTGCCCTTCTAGGCTCTCAGTCTGTTTTTCCAGCACAACTTTTAGTCTGTCAACAAATTTAGTAAAACTCTCATTGAACCCCTGCTTGATGGTTGTTAAACTTTGTGTGGGGGTAGTCATCAGAGGTGAGGGACAGTGATGTTTTGGCAGCAGCAGCAACGTCATGCAGAACAGCTTCAGGCAGGTCTCTGGCCTGATCAGTGGGTTTTAAAAAGTTACCTTTTCTGGCCATTTGCTCAATTGTTAAGTTGGGCTGATTTACATCTTTGGCATAGTTGTCAGCTAATGTTTTTAGATTTTTCTTCCAGTGCCTTTCCCACAGCATATATTCTGCTGGGGAAATGAGGCAGTTCATGATGTTTTTGATGTCATGCAGCACTAATGTGTGCACAGAGAAGGTAGCTTCTACTAGATTCTTAAAGAAATGTGATCCCTGCCTGTGTTCCTTTGCTGCCTTACATAGTTCTTTTAGTTGGGAAGCAGCTCCCAGCTTTTGGGCAGAGATCCTATTAGCCAATTCCCAATCCCCCTCCCTGGTGGCCTTCCTTTGGGCCTTGGCCCAGCGATCTTCAGACTGAGAATCAGAGTCTGAAGCGTCGCTGCTCTCATCCTCCGAGGAGGATGGAAGGTGCCAGATAGCAGCATGGGGCTTTTTCAGGCCAACTGGAGCTGCCAAGTGATGGGTGGAAGAGGAGGCCAATATGGCCTCCTTCCAGTCACCATCATTTCCGCTTCCAGTCCCGGTGGCGTGGGAACCGAGAGGGAGTTGGACCACTGGAGAGGAGCCAAGGCTGGAAGGGATGGAGGGGGTGATACTGATGGAATGGGGGGGTCCCAAGGCGGTTACATCCATCGACGCAGGGGGACAGGAGGAGCCAGGTGTGATGGAAAGCATGGGAAAAAGTGGAGGAGAGGCGGGAAAGTGGCCATTTCATGTAGCGAGGCTGGGAAAACTTGCACAAGAAGGAGACACGACAGGGCTGACCATGTTGCCGGTGCCATTTTGTGGAGCAAAACTAGATGAAGGAGAAAGCCAGTACAAGGGCATTGGAAGGAGGCTGAGGGAAAGGTCCAGGGCAGCAGGGCCCTTGCTAGCGGAGGTAGAAAGAAGTTTGGGAGATGTCAGGGAGTTGGCCCTGCACCATATGGCAATGACCACCTTCAGATTGCCCCTCAGGCAGGGAAGAGGTTTGGGAACATGAGGAGAGGAAGGAGGGAAAGGGGATTTCAGCTGGGGACCCGAAACTTCTCCCAACACATTCCCTGAAACATTCCCCAAGCCAACCACTGTCTTAACAATGAGACGGAAAACAGATAAAAACTTGGAAACTGAAAGATCCCCATCTGCTAAAACTAAGTACAACTTTTACCCCACGGCATCCCAAAAAGAATTTAAACAAAGAGAATCCTGTGTTGCATTTGGGAAATACTTAAAAACCCAATGAACAAAACATTTCAATTCCCCTTTAGAAAACTTAAATCTCCTCGCAACAAGGGCACCCACAACTTGGAGATAAACATCTCTTTGAGGAAGGCTGAGCTTTGGACGACTTAGTTTGTTGCCCATCCTCACTCTTCTCCCACACTCAGCAGCAAAACAAAAAAGTGCTAATTCAATGAAACTCACATTTTTTCTTCGGGCAAGGAAAGCCCACAGGGCGAACAGAAACCTGTTGGGTGGGTGGTCACCCATAGACCGGTCCTCGGGGAGTCTCTTTCAATCCCCAGATGATGCTCGGAGTGTCCCGGTCACCCTTCAGATAGCCCTTGCTAAAACACAAGGGGTTCTCCTCAGGGAAGAGACAAAACCCGAGAGTGACTTAATTCCGGCAGCTGATGCCGCAGGAGACGCTTCTCCAGGGAACCACTGGCTGTGGTCCCTGTTCGGGTGCCACTTGTTGTGGTGGGCAGTGATGGTAAGAATGCCAAGACCTTCCTAGAGAAGTGTCCCTAAAAGGATGTCCTGGAGGCACAGGCACTTCTGCAGCTGCTCTGTGATTACAGCTCTGAGCCCTGAAAAGGGCTGTTCGGCAGGAAAGAGACGGAGCCTTCGTACGGAATTCTTCGGGAGGTTTTATTCAGCTCCTTCTTCAGAAGTGTCCAGGGATGAAGAACCAGCAAGTCAGAGGGAGCAGGGGTTCATACAGGAGGATCAGGACTAGTCCACAGAGGGTTAGCTAGGGTTTCTCCCCCAGGAGGAGCATGGCAAACTGGAGCCTAAGGGCTTTTTCTTAAGGTGAGAGTGGTTACATTGTTGGCTGAATCACGAGCCTCCACAGTAAAGGAGTCAAAGATCATCAGATGGTTATTGCTAAAACCAATGCAACAAGAAACAATAATAGTTCAAGACCTACTTTGTCATTTTTTTATCTGATGTCCTCATTGTTTTGGCTTCTTCAATTCTACCTTCCCAGCGGGAGCAACTGGAAAGCTGCTTAGAGTGTTCTGATGTTGTAGAGCTAGAAAATAATAGGAATTCCACATGAATGTTTGCTGCTTGCAACACATTTAATCAACAGAAACAGCAACAATGGACAAAACCATCTCTCTAACTGTAAAACTACAGACATGTTCCTCCTCTAGCTCAGTTCTAAGTCACCTTCAGCCTGCCCTCTTCTGTTAATGCCTCAACATTTAGCAAGTCATGGAAGTAATACAGAAGCGGATTTCGCTGACAGTCTTACTTTCCCTAAATGGCTTCACATCAACAGATGAAATTACCATCCAAGCTGACAATGTCATTGTAACACAGGAGACAAAGATTCCATACTGAAAAGGAACATATCCACTCAGTGAAAGAGAAACACAAAACACTGCTAGTACATCCACTTAAGTCTCACATTCATGCCTTACTGTTAGTATTTTTTATGACCACATCAAAGACATAGAAAACATTCTGAATACAAGGCCTTTCCTAAACTCTTCAAAAGACTCATTCATTAATGAAGCAATATTAAACATTCCATCAAAAATAAAAATCACCTTCATACAGTGGAATACTCAAATGTATAAATTACATAAAAAAATATTTTCCTGTACACTCAGTAAAACATTTCCTCTTACATTCTGTTCAGTTTTCTGAACATATCTCAGCATTCACCACTTTTCACCCTTGCTATCAGACTCAAAGATACCAGTCTCAACCACTTCCTCAACCTTGGGTCTTCAGTCTAGACTATCCAAAAACCAAACAAAATATTCACAGAATTACCTAAGTATAAAACTCTACCTCATCTCAAATTGTCCTCAGTAAGGGACTGTAGGAAATACAGGGTGCTCACTAAAAGCTGCAGTACAGCTGAATATACCAAGTGGACTGTGAAGAGACAAAGATGGTCTACCCACATTTACACATAAAGATGCATAAGGAAAGTATGAAAATAACAGCAAATGGCTTTATTGGGAGTTTTATACAAATATTGAAGACTTCAGCAATACAGGGCTTAAACTACTGCTTCAGTACATAGCCTTTCACCCTTTCATTTTGAATACTTGCTAATACTATGGCATGTATTTCAATGAGACAAACTTGATGGTCTTCTTTTGGCATGATGCAGGTATCATCTCCTAACTCTGTGCTACTCTATTATAAGAAAACACTCAACCTAAACATGTCCAAGCTTTTTTTGGAGTCCTAAAGAAGAATGCAGCAAAGGGGAGATTTAAAAAAAAATTACACTTATTCCTTACCTCTCCAACCAGTGGTCTGAATGACCACATTGATATTCCTCAACCATGAGAGAATCTGAATCATTGCAGCTTCTACGTTCCTGCTCTTGATGCCAGCGGTGTGGATGTTGCACCAAACTAGAAAACAAGAATTTTCATCTTGAAATCAAGTTGCTGGCAGTCATTGAACATGGTCTATAAAAATCAAATATGGACAATCTGATTTGGCATACAGATATGTGACTTATATCAACTTATTCACGCAACATGTACTTAACAATGGTGTTGGTGCAATTGCTGAGAAAATATCTTTGACTAATGCAATTAAGACATCAAAATTTTCAAATAAACAGTTAATATTTAGGTAACAAAAAAAATACTCTTTTTGCAAAAATAATGGTGTGGAAGACTGCCATCAATATTTATGGACTTGTGGGCATGTGCCAACATCCACAGACCATGCTCTGTCAGCAGTGCATTATTTGACACTTATTTATTGCCCCATCCAGTAGTAAACTCAAAGAAAAGTCCAGAAACTACACTTCCATGCAATGACTAAAGAGAAGTAGGTCAAATGTTTATGTGGAAATACTTTCACACAGGAAATTCTTGACCAGATGTGGTTGCAGAGCCCTCACAAGGAGGCCTGGGACAAGGAGCAGACTGTAGTGCTTAAGATACACTGGCTAGTCAGCCAGGGATTGCTTAAGGGTTGACTTCTCTACATTCTCCTCCTCGGTTCTGACAGCTTTGACATCTTAAATGACAGGTTACTAAACAAAACACAATCGTAGCATCTATTAACACCCAACCGGGCTTCTGGGCTAAGGACCACACCTGCAGATCCACTGCCACCCCTGCCAGAGAACGATCAGGTACCGCAGCCTCTGCACTGTAAATATACCGTGTTTTGTACGTGTAACAGCAAACACACTGCTCTGCACGTGCCAGGTCTCTCCCTTAGCTCAACAAGGGAGAAGGAAGGAATTTTGGTATTTTACTCCCGTGTTAACCACCCGTGTTTTCTTTCCCTACCTCCTCCACCCTGTCTGGCTTTGGGAGTTTCCTGCTCCCAGAGGGCTCGAAGTTACCAACAACAGACAGCAAACAGCTCGCTCAGAATCACAGACTCAGGCAAAAAGGTCTGCTTCCAAATCCGGTCAGTTTTCGCTACGGCAATGAACAGATAAAACCCTTCTCTAACCATCTTAAACAATTACTCGGTTTAACGACTTGAAAGAAACATTTTTAAAACCGGCTTAGGTACACTACAACACATGCCGTAAGCAGACACTGTTTTAAAATCTAAGGGGAAACGATAAATGAAAATTACGTCTTTTAGAAACACTCCAGTATTTGCTTTGCACCCCGCCCACTCCAGCCTGATACCAAGCCCCAGCGCTCCCAGCCGGGCTGAGGCGTCCCGCCGAGCCCACACGCCCTGCCCGGGCTGCTGGTCCTTCAGTCGCCACCGACAGAGGAGGCCGAAGGAGCCCCTGCACGGGGGGTGAGAAGGGAGAAGGGGCTGCTCGCCGGAGGAGCACGGGCGGCACAGCCAGCAGCTGCCTCCGGAGCCGCCCCGGGACAGACAGCGCCGCATCCCCGCCCTCC